CCACTGTAGAAGCTAACAATGGGAGAGGTAAAGGTGGGTGTAAAGCTCCCTGAGAAGGCAAGGTTTGCTGGATATTGCCAAGCTTAACTGGGCAATCAGTTGGCTTGCTGCTTACATCTCTAGCAGCTGCTAACTCTGAGCAGGGCTTATGCCAGTAGCTGGGGCTAATGGGTGGCCTTGCTGCACAGCGTTGCTCTCAGTAGGCAGGTTAAGAGGGGTTAGTATGGGAGTTGTCACTGGAGGTGATCCTTCCCAAGGAAATTTCTCCAGCAGAGAGATCCAAAGATCTAGCTCTGCCTTTGCATTGCTGAAGCCATCCTAATGCTCTGGGAAATTGGGAATAAAGACCAATTTAAGAAATTGAGTGCTGTTATTTAATCTGTGATGCCTTTTTTTCTACTCATCCATAGCTCTGTAGGGGTCCTGTTGGGATTGGCTTAAATTTGTCCTTACTGGGAAACTGTAGGAGAGCTTTCTGTCCACAGCTTATATTCTGTAAGTATGTGACACTGAAAATCTCAAATGACATGTCTCACCATAAGCCATGTTGTCCTGCCTGTTATGGAAATGGTTGAACATAACTATTCGAACACTTTTTCTAGTGCATGCTCGGTGTTATTATTAACCATGGATTGCCTGGAGGTGTTGGTCAGGATTGTTGATTGCAAAGTCACTGTTGCATTTATACATGCATATAAATACATGCAAACTGACCAGCCTCCTGTTGCCTTGTCTGGCCAGGTCTATGCTACTAAACCAAACGGTGAAGGCACAGGCTTTAACATGGTCTTGTGACTGTCCATGCTATTGAACCTTTTACAGGTTTGGCTGGATTTCAATGGTGGGATCTCCATCAGTGCCTGTACATGGGTCACAGGACAGCAGAGATTGCTATGGGTGAAGTCTTTGGGGAAAGGTGTTTATCTTGATGAAAGCAAGTCTGCTCTATGCCACAGAAAAAAATATGGACTCAGTCAGAGATCAATATGATCAGACCAAAGCCGTTTATTGCAAAGCCTTAACTCCTTATATACTATTGCTTACATGCACTTACAGTGATTTGGCATATTATGATTGGATACATGTCTTGAAGACCCTTAGTGACTAACATATAATTGGTTAAGCACAGGTGTGAGAACTTGACCTCGAAAGCTTGCCAACAGTCCACAGTTCTCATAACTCAGTGAATTCCAGCTTCTTCTTATCTTGCTTGCTTAAGCTTCCTCGGGCCTTTCATGGCCTTGCTGTATCTTTCAGGATTATTCAGAGTTTATGTACCAATTATCCATTCTCCCGTGAGAACAGTCTCCACAGCTCTATCATTAGCTTTTAGAGCAACAGACAAATCCTGGGCCCTTTTTTTCACTAGTAGAGCTGTGGTCTTTGAGTTCACATCCTTCAGAATAGTTTTAAAGCTGCATTTAGACAACTGTGGCCAATGTCGAGGCCCTGCTCCTCTGTAACAGCCATAACCAGCAGAAATATTTTGATAAAACTGGTCTCGTAGGAAATGTATTACTTTTTCTTTCCATTTTCTCAAATAAAAAAATGCCTGTCACGTTTCAGTGGAAAATACATCTCCCTGAAGTTTGAAGTCTAGTTCAAATTACAGTCAAGCACTAAGATCAAAATCCCTTCTTTTCACTCCTTTACCCACTCCTTTCTGCAATGGCAGATGGCAACAGCATAAGCAGAGATGTAACCATGAAAGCTTTTCAGGTTTTGCTTCTTGGTGAAACTTGTCAAGAGTAGTTCTTCAGGTAATGACTAGTGTAGGACCACCCTGCAGAGCTGTAGAGTCACCTCAAGGAAGGCCACAAGAAATGCTACTCAGACGTAGAAATAACTAACACGAACGGGGAAGGGACTGCCCTGACCCACTCTCAAATCAAGTGAACTGCAGCAGGGGGGTGCACAGGATAGAGCTAAGCTGATGCAATTGCTGATCAGCTAAGAAACATATACCTGAAGTGTCATTTCGCAAGGCCTGTGGACTTTCTACCATAAAGATGAATGTAAAAAAAGATTTTAATCTTGAAAAAGCAGTTGGGCAGAAGACGAAGTATTTTGACATGGCTGCTTACACATGCAAATGTTGGTATTTTCATCAAGTGGGGGCTTTTTAACAGCGCTGTTGAGACATCTTAATGAAGTAAAATGGAAAAATAATAATCTTCAGTTTGGAAGCTTGTGGCATCTACACTACGAAATGGTACTACATTTTATCTATTGATCACATTTGAAGATCCTAGATGTGGTTCTAGTTAAGTTCCAAGTATGATGAAAATGATCCAAGAACATCATTTTCAAGTTACATTATTGCGGTCATGTCACTTTCCAAAGTATCACTAGATTGTTCCTTTATTTTTTTCATTTGCCAGAGAGGTAGGAGACTGTTCTGCTGCCTGGAAAAATGCCTGCCTAGAACTGGAGGTCCAGATCTTTAACAAGAGTAACTTGGCAAGACCCCCTTCATTGTAATGGAGCAATGCCGGTTTTTGTCAGTTCAGTATCTGGCCCATCAGATTTTCAACTGTTATCACCACAGGCAGAATTCAAATTGACACAGCGTGGGCTAACATGATTGAATACAGAGCAGGCTGCCTGGTTTCCTAAATTATTTTAATAACAGAAAGAATGTAGCTGGAATGCCAGGCTAAGATCTCTACCTGGATAAGGGCCCAGATTTTATTTATCTTTTTATTTTAGGGTTTTTCTTTTTTGTTTGTTTGTTTTTTTTCAATAAGCCCATTCCAAAGTCATTACTTTTCCATTGTCATGACATAGTCCTCAGGACAAAAGTCTCAGATTCCCCTTGGAGCTGCAAAATCCCACAGCTTCAGGTAGAAAGTATTGAAGTGAATAGATCTTATAGGATAAGGGGATTACAGGAACAGAGATGGAACATACCCATCTCCAGAACTAAATTCAGCTCTGAGATGTATCTACACCAGGTACTGCATTTCCAGGGCCTTTGGTGGGTCACTGCTGCTGTGAAACTCCCAAAGTCACCTGGCATCCTGGAGCCCACTGACTCCCAGGGATCTCACTGGTCTCAGGCTGAAATTTGTCTGTCTGGGCTTGCTTTGAAGTGCTCGCTGCGCAGCCATGGCTGCCTGATGACACTGGGGAGAGCTGGGAATGCACAGCTCTGCCTGTGGGAGCTGAGCCATGGCACTGCTGAACACTTGCTGCAGGGGCCTGGGTGCAGCGTGAGGTGGATGGCACAAGGAAGGTGGGCTCTCCTCACAGATCGGTGTGCACTCAAATAGTGTTTTCCTGGTAGGATAGAAAGAATGTCATCTCATCTGAGCTTCACCAGCTGGCAGAGATCCTATGACACATGAGCACAAGCTGGGCCTCTGCTCCTCAGCACGGCTTTGGACAGGGTGGGTTGAAATGTCTGTAGGAACAGTGATAATTTACACGTAACTAAATTTGACCATCGAAGGAGCCAAGTTAAAAACAAAAACATAACGATTCGATTTCTCTCCTTAGGGAAAAGAGTTGTGTTTTTTCCCACTTGAAAGAATTCAGACATTTTACTTTCATCTGCCCTTGTGTCTGAACAAAGCTAGCTGATTACTCGATACCTCGGCTCTGATTTGGGGTGTATTTTTTATTCCTCTTAGAGATTCAGGAGGTAGTAAAAAGCCTCATTGTAATTCAGTAATTAGTATGTCTCCTTCTTCTTTTGACCAGGAATGCAAGGGTATCCTTTTCTGTGAATGTCATTTTCTCTCTGTGCTCTTGTACTTTAATTTCCAAGATGTGAAAACAGGAATAGAAGATGAATTAGGTATTGAAATGAGAGGATATGAACATGACTCTCTTCTCCTACAGAAATTTTTCTTTCAAAAAGAAAAAACTTCTGTAGTTAAGCAAAATTGAATAAAGGGCTTTATTAACTGATTGTGATGAATAAAATGTTTTTATCCTGCAAGAACTTTACTCAGGAGAGCAAACTTAGTTTAAAGTAAATTCAAAGCATTAGTGCACTTACTTTCCCTGTGTATTTTCTCTTCTCCCACCTACCATCCAAGCAATCTGGCTTTAATTCTCAAGTTATTAATCTAGGTTTTGTGGTTTTGGCAGATAAATAACTATTTTATTATGCCTAACCCAGCACTGCCTTGATGCTTAAGATATTACCAGTACCCAACTATTAAGCTAGAAAGGCAATGTTTGGTATCTGGATGAAGGGGTCTTAGGTGAGATGAGCTGGTCTAACTCTGCTTTCAGATATACAGGGATTAGTTAGGAAAAAAAAAAAAGATGTATTTCTTCTTGATGAAAGAGGGGACTTATACATTGCTCTCATTTGTCTTCTTGGATTGTTTCTTTTCTTTTCTTTTAAAGTCATATTTATATTCTGCATTACCTGATGGCACAGAGGGTTCTGATTCATCGAAGCTTCATCAGTACAGTGTTTTTCTACCTCCTGCCCAAATATGGTTGAGCTGTTCCGAGGTTAAAAGCATGAGTGCTAAAATGCTACTGATAGTGTGGGAGAGGGACATATGCTTGCTTGTCCTCTGCACTGGCCTCCTACACTGCGGTACATATGGGAGGAATTCACCTAGCTCAAAGGGTTGATTTTGGGATTTCTAAAGGATTGCATAATTTCTAAGTAATTCTTCACTTCCCAGAATCACAGTGAGTCCCTTCTGGTGCTGATAGTGTTGCCTTTGCAACAGAGAGCATCTCTGTGAAGGAGTTGGGCTATCCTCAGGGGTACCCCAAACAATGTAGAACTCAGCCCAGAATGACCGCAAACCTCTCTGTTTCCTAGCACTTACAAATGGCATGTCTTTGCCCTCCCATCATCCAGGAGCAACACAGGTCTGTGTTTTTTAATTCCCAAGAACCAGGCTGGGACCTGACAGATGTTCATCAGTTCTCTATTTTTCTCCTTTGAAAGGTGATCATACATGGTATGAAGACCTGAGCAGACAATGGGAAAACGTACGATCACCACTTGCCTCAGCTGCAAGTCCCTTGGACGCCTCTGTTAATGATGGATGCCTGGATGCCAGGAACTCTGCTGCTCATCCTAAGTTCAGTGTTTGTCTTGCTCATCCAAGGGCTTCCTGTGATGTCTTCCTTGGTAGTCAGGGCAGAGAGCAATTCACACCAATGCCGCTCAGTAAACACGCTTAATGGAAAAAACTAAGAGACTTTTTCTTTTGTTGGAAATTTTTTGTGAATTATTTTTGTTTAGGAAAACATGATATCATTCTGATGGTAAGAAAACAAACTGGCAGGCCAGCTTTCTGTTACTCCTAAAATATCACCTCCTATTTTTCATTAAAGAGTAGAAAAGAAGAAAGTGGAGAAATACAATAGCCAAGACCAAACCCTATGTCTGCTTCTTACCTTTTGCTGCTTTTTCTGCCCTTTGGCAAGCGCTTGGGAAAAAAAAAAAAGAGAAAGAGGGTGTGCAACAGAGCATGCTTTCCCCTTAAGGCATGAAAAATAAGAAATTGAAAAAGGAGATTTTATTTCTTTTCTGATTTCAAGATTACTGTTTTGGGAAAATTTCTGTTAAATAAACCCCCTATTTTTCAGTGAAGACATTCAAACAGTCTGGCTCACCACATTTCATGGCTCAGCCTGCTCAGACCACAAATTATAGATGTCATAACAAATGTCAAAAATACAGTGGAACATAATAAATTATACATGCACAGACACAAAGGCAGTCACTCATATATACACACACATTCATGTGTTTATATAATCATTTGTGTATGTATGAATATATGTGTATAAATATATCTCTGCATGTGCATGTATATGTGTTTGTGTGAAGATGTAACACGGATGTGTCAATGCTTTCAAGCCAAGGAGCTCCCTGAGAGGTTCTGCTTCAGGAGTGTTTCCTTTGTCTGTTGAGAAGATCCCTTTCCATGCAGTGTTTACCTGTGGTAACCCCTGTTTTTACTGTCTCTGTCAAATGCTTTTCCCAGAAAAAAATCTACCCAGCAGCACTGTGAGATTTGGCACATTTGTTATTTGTGCAAGGAAAGCTGGGAAGCTTTGCCTGCGTCACAAGAGAGTGGCAATACAGCCTGGAAAATCACGCTTGGGGTGTAATACAAAAACTCAGTCCTTAGAAGAGACCCTTTCAGGCAAGAGTAGGAACACTTTACACCTGCCAGTACATTTCATCAGGCCTTGTGGTGACCATTCGAAGGAGGGATGGTGGCTAAGAAGCAAAGTCCTCACCATGAGCAATGCCTCAAAAGTTGGAATAGTGTGTTGTGCAACTTTGCACAGCAGTCAGGCAGAGACACTAAAGCGGAACTGCTCATTTAGTGGGAAAATAAATCTGAGTTGAATTGTCCAGATTTATGTTTTGGCTGTGTTAGCAGAGCTAACCAACGCCCATACAAAACCTCTTGAAAAAAAGATCTTCAGGTCTTGCATGCGGGGTGGTCCCTCACGCTGCTGCCAGTACCAGTTCAGCAGTGGTTCAGTGGGTCAGTTGCTGAGGTGAGTAGCTCGAGAGAGGACGCCTTCCACACCGGAGCGGGCCGAAGCTCAGCGCCCAGGAGCCTCAACTCAGAGCAGCGAGAGCCCCCCAGGGAGCCTCAAGTCCTCGACAGGACCTTTCCAGGAGCCGGCAGCTCAGCTGATGTGAGCAGGGACTCACAGGGGGCGGTTTACTTTTCCCTCTTTCAGGTTGTCATGGTTTAAACCCAGCCATGCAGCTCGTTCACTCACTTCCCCCCCTTCTTGTCCTCCCCCTACTCCCGGAGGGATGGAGAGGAGAACTGGAAAGAATGCAACTCCCACTGGCTGAGATAAGAACAGTTTAGTAACTAAGGTATAACACAAATCACTACTGCTACCACCAGTAATAATAATGATAAAGGAAATAACAAGGGAAGAGAACACAACACCTCAGCACCAGCCGACTGATAACTCCCCCCCCACCCCCCAGCCCGACCAAACACTGACCGATGCCTAGTCCAACCCCGCAGTCCTCGCCCTTCTGGGTAACTCTCAGTTACATCCTGGGCATGACGTGCTGTGGTATGGAATACCTCTTTGGCTATGCGTCAGGTGTCCTGTCCCTGCTTCTTCCCGGCTTCCCCTCCTCCCTGGCAGAGCATGAGGCTTAGAAAGTCCTTGGGCAGACCAAACATTTGAGCAGTAACTAAAAACATCGGTGCTATCAGCACCGTTCCCAGGCCGAAAGTCAAAAACTCAGCACTGCTTCAGCTACTAAGAAGGAGAAAAAAATGACTGCTACTGATGAACCTAGGACACAGGTAAATGTGCATAACCAACTTAATTTATAAATTGTATAAACCTAAACAGGCTTAGGTCTCCATTATCCCTTCATAATTTCTTTGGTCAGGCTTGTCACACCACTGCTTAGTCTTAGAGAACATTTCTTATGCATCCTCCTCATATTTGGTTTTCCTCTTCAACAGGCTTCTGTCTTTGAGAAGCCAGGTAGAGTCTTGGATATCTCCTACTCACAAAGAATTTATCGAGGAACCTTGCTCTGTGTACTGCTGACAGCAGGCTACAGCAAAGGTGTGAAACTATCTACCATTTATTAAGAGATCCCAGCAGAAATTATTTTCCTGTTTGCATACAATGTGTGTCTTGCCCTCTGACTTTCCTATTGCATCAGAGCTGTCAGTGAAATGTGGAGCAAACTATGTGTTATAAGGTTCATGGTCCAGCCACATCACGAATGACATTCCCACACAGACTCATGCCCTTCAGAATGCAAAACTGACAATACCAATCTGTTTTAAATCTCTAAAAATACAAGTATTAGAGACCTTATAAGAAATCTTAAAAAACTTAATTTTCAGCACACAAGCAATGCTTCCTGCCTGACCTCAAAGCAATATAAATGGAGCAGGGAGTTGCTCAGAGGTTATTCAGCAAAGGAATATTTACAAGATTTCTCTCTACTTAGCCTAAGCTACTCAGTAGCCCTTTTGATTGAGTAAAACTATTCATTGTGTGGGACAGAGTTGTAGTGTTAATTAAAAGCACCACCCATTCCAGCCGACTTTACAGACTTGGCACATCCAGCATATGTAGTAAAATGTGTGAATCCCAAGTGTGACCCAGCACATATGTCAAACCCCAAACGGGTCCTCAGTGCGAAGGTCTGTAAGTATTTTTGTGGGTTTGTGAGACTCTACAACCTGATCATTCTGATATAAAACCTAAATTAAATGCTCTACGAGCCAGTAGTATTAATAAAGTACCTTCAGATCAAGTGAAAACTCTCCCTATTGACCTAGCAAGATGACTATGCCATGTATGATTGTGGATAAATAACAGCATTGCCTCTTCGCCAGTACCTGACTCTGTACTCTGGGGTTTTGATTTATTAAGAGCAGGGGATGAAAAGTACTCTCGTAGGGTTTGTACATTACCTTCCTGGACTGGATCTCTGGGTGCTAGTGAAGCATAGCTGGGAAACTGCATGTCCTTGCAAGAGGCCCTCCAAGGCACAGGGCTGTCACTGGTGTCTGCATGTGCTGGTGTTTCAGCAGATGCAACTACTCTGTGAAATGTGGGATACAGACAAAAGCCAGAGTAGACACCACCTTCCCAAAATAAGTCAGAAAGGTAGATATAGTGCAAAAGCTAGTGAGATGCCTTCTAGGGGCAACTGGGAGTCATAGGAGACCCACAGCTGATTTGCCAGCAGAGCTGGACAGGATATTTTGTCAGGATATTCTTTAGAAAGGAGGGAGGGAAAGGCTGCCTTCTCCGGCGGCTGCTGGGAAGAGCCCTGCCCTTACTGCAAGGCAGGAGGCAGAGCCCAGAGAACAGGGAGCTGAGTGTATGGCCAGAGGGTGTCCTCAGTCCCTTCAAGCTGCTGGCCTCTCTGCTCAGCCATGCACTGCACATAGGTGTGACCTGCCTGAAGAAGGGCTCCCCCGTTCATCACCTTGCCGAGCCAGCAGGAGGCCAGCCAGTGCAGCATCTCTGAGGGAAGCCCCCCTCCTGCACGAAGCAGCTCCAGGGAAGATGGGGCACCTGTGAGCCAGGATGTCCCGAGGCCCTTTGTGCACTGCTCGGGAAAGGAGGGCAGGCAAGCCTTGCAGACGAGCCTGCTTCACTCCTCCTCAGTGCCAGCGGGAGGGCTTTCCCGGGGCTGTGATTCTGCTCTCCCAGAGACCCTGCGCTGCAGAAGCTGGAGCTGGACCACTGGGGCTTCTCCTTCAAGCCCCATTCCCCTGTCCCGTCCTTTGCAGCCCAGACCATGAGTATCTTTTTCCTAAGGGAGAAAGTTCCCTTCCCCACTAGTGGTGCAAGCTATGGAACCATCGTTGGAAGAATGTTTGCAAGGAACATACTCAAGTCCAACTGCACACATCCTTGTTTTATTATTTTTCCTAAAGTATCTCTAGGGCCTTCAGGTGGTGGTGTGGCTCGCCATCGTCCCATGAACCTGTACTCGGTACACACACGTGTACTCTGGATTTCCCCAGTTGCTCTGCACCTGGAATTTGATGTAACGAAAGGTCCCGGGAAGCTCCTTCTGTAAAAAAATGAGGGGACCCATCATTACACAGGTGGCCAGAGCCACAACACATCACTGGGGCTCCTGACGAAAGGAGGAAGCAAGGGCAACCACATGTCCCCTTGCAAGGGCCATGGAGGAGCCCTCTGTGCTTGGAAAGCAAAGGCCCTGAAGCCTTGCTGAGCAGAGCATTGGGAACCGGAGGAGCACTGCTGCCGGTGCAGCCGTGGGATGTGAGGAGGGTCTCACTGAAGGTAAGATGTCTGCCTCCCTCACTCCCACCATCTGCTCTAGTGGGACTGTTTCCCTTCCCGGTCCCCTTCCCACTGCTGCTTTCTCTGTGCTGCCTGAAGAAAAAGGAAAGCCCTTAAGGTGGGACAGCTGTCTCTGGCAGCAAAGCAAAGCCCCATTTGGTCTCCTCTTGCCATCCTCCCCACAGGAGCGAGGAGCATGGGAGAGCAGGGGCTGGCTGGGGTGATACTCTGCACTGTTTCCTCCAGGGACTTGCAGACAACCCTGCCTTCTTCCCAGGCATTCTGCCACAGCTTTTGCAGTACCTGCACATGGAACGTCTGAGCGATCCCCTTGTGCACGTCGTAGGTAAATGTTCCCAAGAGAGTTTCTGCCGTTGCCTCATCCACTCCCTTGAAGACAAGAGACAAAAGAGACAAAGGGAGTGGGTCATGCTCCAGCAGGGCACCAGGAAAAGGGCATGCTGAGGCTGAACCCAGGAACCCTTCCCCACCTCCCTGGGCTCCAGCAGTAGTCTAGCACAGCTTAGGGTGATTGTGGGTCAGGGTGCTTTGAGCACATGCTCCAGGATCTTTGGGCATGAAGCCGAGAAGAAGCTCCCAGAGGCACAGGACCCCCACATACCCATAGGGGATGGGGTGCTGAGAGGAGGTGCCACAAGAAGCACATCTCAGGTATGTCTTTTCTCTTGGGCCAGCCCCCCCTGAGAAGCACAAGGCAAAGACTTACAAAGACAGTAAACTCTCTGGGGGCGCTGCTGACTTCCCCAGAGGGAGACACTGCCTCGGAGATGTGCCAGACGGTGAAAGCTGTTGGCCAGATGTGCACAGGCAGCCGGATGACCACATGGCCCTGAGATCCGTGGAAAGGCCAGCAGTTGCCAGGGGTAACACTGGGCTGAAACCAGAAAGCCATGACCATCAGCAGTAAATGCTGTGCACTTGGTCTGCCAACCTGAAAGCAAAGAGCTGAACCACAGGTCAGGCCTTCCCTTGTCATACCTGCAAGATTGTCACTGGAGGGTTTGCAAATAAGAAGGTGAATAGAGAAAGCAGCCAGGTCATCATGCCTTCCCCACCGTAACTCTTGGATGTCCTCTCCTCATCGATGCTGGCACCTGACATGAAGGTGGACAGAAGTTGACTAAGACAGCGCAGAGATTAGGAGGAGCAGCAGTGCATTACCATGTATTTCTCAGGCTTGAAAGCAGAGCTTAGCAGAGCCCGGGGCAGTGCCAGAGCCCGGGGCAGTGCCATACATAGAAGGATGGCAGGGATACTTTCTGTCTACATACCTATGGCTTCCAGAGCCCAGTCAGGCATCAGGACATAGTTCTCAAGCACCTTCTTAATTGCCACCTCTGTCAACTGCAGAATTTCCTGGGGAAAAAGTGGGAACGGCAAGATGGCAGTGAACACAAAGGCACATGGGGCAGTTCTGCATGAACACCGAGTCCTGGCACAGAGCCGAGGAGCATCTCTGTGTCGGACAACCCTAGGCAAGAGCTGTCGAAAAAAGTGATGACTTTGAGAGTGCCGAGAGGAAGCAACAGGAGGGTGCCCAGAAAGGCAGCGAGGTCTGTGATCCAGCCCCAACAGCTTTACCTCTATTTGCTCCTCTTGGACAGCATGGTCTTTGAGGACCTCTCTCACAATATTCAGTACTCTTCCCCTAGCAGCATACACCTGAGGCACCTTCTGCTTGAAGTCCTGATTCACCTGGGCCTGTGAATTGCTGGAAGCAAAGGAAAAGCAGGTCTTGACCAGCAGCTGCCAGCCCCTGTGGGCAGGCTCCAAATGCCATGCAGAGAAGAGTCCCATGGGCTTGGGTCACCCCGCATTCCCCAGCCCCATTCCTTCCTCCGGCTTACAGATGGCTCCCTTCCACCACCCATAGGGAGGATCAAGATCCCTGGACACAAGGCAAGGGCAGGCAGCACGAGGCCGTCTGAGACAGCTCCACAGGGTGTGCCCCTTAGGAAGAAAGCACTCTTACCCCAGTAGTTCCTGCTCAGCTCCGTGAGGCCTGGACGTCTGCAAAATTAACATACCGCATAAGCGTGAGGATCACTGCCAGGGCTTCCCAAAGGAGACTACCCTAGGTAGAGCTGGAAGAACATCCTGCTGCTTTGAGTCACTTTGGAGAAACCCTGACCCAAAGGTTGGGTTCCCTAACCAGCCACGTTCAGCAGAGAAGCTTTTGGGTCTCCATCTGAACCCCACAGCCCTCCAAGAGGTATGCAAGCAGCAAAGGCACCTTCTGGCACAGTGCTCCCCTCTTCAGCCTGCCACCCTGTGGAGGTCACTGAGGAGGAGCCCCACTCTGAACCCCATCAAGCCACTGAGGAGACTGGAGGATGAGCACAGGTGCCTCCCCCCAACACCGCCCCAGTGGTGATGGGTATTTCTGGCCAGGCGCCCCATGTTCTCAGGGAAGGCAGGAGGGCAGAGCCATGGCCTTTGCAGATGCTGACTTCCCCACAGCAAGAGGCGCTTACCCACAACACATCCTTGAGCCACATCGTCGCACCGCACCAGTAGCCAAGAGCTGTGAGTCACATTGTCAAGAGATGATTATTTTCTTCACGAGCTGGTCCCTCTTCCCAGGGCTGAGGGAACCATTTTTGGTCAGGGATACTCACTGAACAGGATGGGAAGCAGCCGGAAAAGGAGCCTCAGGCCCCCTCTGTCCTTCTGGCAGGTGTTAAGTTGTCTAAAAGAGAGGGAGCGCTGTTGTTGCCAAAGCCCAGGGTTGGAACACCTATTTGCCAGGGATCCATTTAGGAGCTCGCTGGGCTACCACATTCCATGTGTGCCCAGCACAGCTGCAAGCCTGAGGGCCCAAGACCTGCAGGTCGTTGAGAAGGTCTGGGACACAAAGACCTCTGGGCCTGACACAGGGACAACAGCCTGGCCCTGCTTGGCTCTCCCCAGAGAAGGGTCAGGGCTGTGTCCCCGGAATGGGGTTGCTGTGCTGCAGGGCAGCGGGGCAGACAGACCCCATGCTCTGGGGCTGCTGCTGCTGCTGCCGGGAAGCCAGGCAGCACACAAGGCTTGTGGCACGATCCCTCCCTGCTCTCTGGGCCCCCTTGCTCCCAGCTGCCCAACCTGGCTGGCATCTCTGCAGACTGAGCACACTGTCCGGGCACTGGGAAAAGCCCTCTCTCCTCACGAGATCCCAGCACCTCTTCGCTATGCGTTGCTAGCTGCTGAAAGCGCTGCTTCGCACTGTCCCCACTGCCGCGTGGGGCGCTTTTCTAAGGGGCAGCTTTATGATCTCACAAGAGAGAACTGCTGGTGCCCATGGCAACCTCAGGGGCACTGCCCTGGACGCCTGGGAGGAACACACCCTGGGGGCAATTGGGAGTAACTGGGAACCCTGAGGGTAAGACAGAACCCTGCTGGGGCTACCTTGGAACCCCTTAGGGCAACCCAGAACAATTCTGGGAACCACTGGGAACCCTCAAAGGCAACCGAGAACCCTTCTGGGGCAACCGAGGGCTTTTCAGAAATGGGAGTAACTGAGAACCCCAAAAGGCTACCAAAACCCCTTCTGGGAGTAACTGGGAACCCCTGAGCACAAAAAGAACTCTGCTGGGGGTTACTGGGAACCTCAAGTGCAACCCCATGCCCATCAGGGGAACAGGCAGTAACTGAGAACCCCTCAAGAACCTGTAGTTATCCCTGGACTACTACAGTAATTGGGGTAACTGGGACGTCCGAAAGGCAACTGAGAACCCTTCTAGGGGTAACTGGGAGTAACTGGGAACTCCCATTCTCAGGAGAGCCTGGTCTGGGACAGTACATGAACTACATCAAAGAGAGCCCTTCTCAGCTGCTTCATGAGGGCATTATCGCTGTAGAGACTCTCATGGAATCTCTGTTTATCTGTGTTTCCATGGGAGGGTCACTTTGCATGTCAGATGAGGATATTCTTTTTAACTCCTGAAGCCATGAACTCCTGTTTTCCTTGCCCACACACCTGCCTCAGTCCGGAGTCTGGATAAGCCGGCTTTGCTGCCTGACTTTTTCCAGTGTGTTTGCACCTGTCTTACACAAGGAGGTGTTTATCTTGCATAGGAGGGCATACTGGTGACTGTAGTATCCACCTGGCAGCAGGAACTCCTTTCCAGTAGCTGAAACAACTCACTGGGAAGGAAAATGCCATAGCTGTACACCAGACTTGCCAGGAGCTCTTTCACTAGTGACTTCTGCATGGTCAAACCAAAGACCAAGGGACCCTGCTTTGTACCTGAGGCTGAAAGCACATTTACACATCACTTTGAGCAGCTGCTAAGCCAGACCAAGAAGTTCTTTCCTAGCCACACAATAAATATGTATTTTTAGCAGCCACAAAAATAGATTTCAACAAGGCAACTGAGAACCCTTCTGGGGCAACCGAGGGCTTTTCAGAACCCATGAGGGAAACCTGGAACCCTGCTATGAGGTCTCTATGCAGCCTTCTCTGCTGGCGGGCTCCAGCAGCAGGGCGGGACGGACGTGGCCGTGGACTTGAACCTGGCCGTCCCACTCCTCTTCACCACCCTGGCCCTCGTCGTCGCCTCCTTCTTCGTGAGGCCGCGGGGAGCAGAAGGGGAGCGGCCCCAGGAGCCGGCGGCCGCCGAAGCGGGCCGGGAGAGCGGCCCTGGGGACCAAGCGGCGGCAGGAGCGGGGCCGGAGGCCGGCAGGGAGCGGCTGCCGATGGACGAGGTCGGGGCGGCCGAGGAGTGGAAGGAGGCGGCTGCCGAGCAGCGGGAGAAGGCGGCGGAGGAACCGAGCCCCGCGGCTGAGCCCATCCCCACGACGGCCGAGAGCATTCCCCGGAAGCCGCCCGCCGAGCCCCAGGAGGATGCAGGAGACCAGGCAGCATTTCCCAGCAAGGCAGAGGAGGAAGAGCTGGACTCAGAAAAAGAGAAGCTGGCGGTGGGAGAGCCGGCAAGCACAGCAGCTACACCAGCCCCAGTGACAAGTACATCAGCATCAACTGAGAGTTCTGAAGGTTTTGAATGGCCTTTGGGTATCCTTGGGACCTGCCTGCTGACTGTGATGGGGATCAGCATGTTGGCACACACGCATACTGTGTTTTACCCACCACCATTTTGTCTGATCTCAAAAGTTAAGCAGAGTCAGGTTTGGGTCTTGTCTGCGGTTAGATGACGATATAGGGGTACCAGGAGATTTTCCCCAAGGCTGGACAGTCATGAGTGGCAGGGTGTTTGGGACAGTACGGGCAAGTATCTAGTCCACTGGGCCCCTCCAGTGCTTTGGAAGCATCGGAGGTGCAAGGCAGCTGTGTGGAGTCCCCAGCGACAAGCTGCAGAAACTGCTGAAGAGAACAGTGAATTATTTTGAGCCTGGTGGGCCAATGGCACTTCAGGCCATCAGAGCAGAGATGCAACGCAGAGATGGACTCATGATCGAGGGGTGGACTTAGCAATGGACACTATTGCCCAGGTTATTCACGAGTGTGAACACTGCACACAGCCTCTCCTGTTCTGAAAGGCCGTTACAAGAGATGGAGCCTGACATCATGGACCAGATGGACTCAGCCAGCTTTACAGGGACTGGTCCATGCACTAAGATAAGAGTGCACTTAGATAAGAGTGATGGTATATTGAAAATGTGGGATCTGAGCATGATGTGAATGGGATGGAATAAGGAGTGGATACTGTCCTGGGTTCATCAGTAGCAGTCTTTTTTTTCTCTTTCTTAGTAGCTGAAGCAGTGCTGTGTTTTTGACTTTCGGCCTGGGAACAGTGCTGATAGCACCAATGTTTTTAGTTGCTGCTCAAATGTTTGGTCTGCCCAAGGACTTTCTGAGCCTCATGCTCTGCCAGGGAGGAGGGGAAGCTGGGAAGAAGCAGGGACAGGACACCTGACCCATAGCCAAAGAGGTATTCCATACCACAGCACGTCATGCCCAGGATGTAACTGAGAGTTACCCAGAAGGGCGAGGACTGCGGGGTTGGACTAGGCATCGGTCAGTGTTCGGTCGGGCTGGGGGGGGGGGGGGAGTTATCAGTCGGCTGGTGCTGAGGTGTTGTGTTCTCTTCCCTTGTTATTTCCTTTTAGCATTATTATTACTGGTGGTAGCAGTAGTGATTTGTGTTATACCTTAGTTACTAAACTGTTCTTATCTCAGCCAGTGGGAGTTGCATTCTTTCCAGTTCTCCTCTCCATCCCTCTGGGAGTAGGGGGAGGACAAGAAGGGGGGGAAGTGAGTGAACGAGCTGCATGGCTGGGTTTAAACCATGACAACCTGAAAGAGGGAAAAGTAAACCAAAACCTGGCTCAGGAAAATCTGTGCTTCAAAGAATCATAGAATCATAGAATGGTTTGGGTTGGGTTGGAAAGGACCTTAAGATCATCTAGTACCAACCCCCTTGCCATGGGCAGGGACACCTCACACTAAACCATGTTACCCAAGGCTCTGTCCAACCTGGCCTTGAACACTGCCACGGATGGAGCATTCACAACTTCCTTGGGCAACCCATTCCAGTGCCTCACCACCCTCACAGTAAGAACTTCTGCCTCATATCTAACCTGAACTTCCCTTAAGTTTAAACCCATTACCCCTTGTCCTGTCACTACAGTCCCTAATGAAGAGTCCCTCCCCAGCATCCCTATAGGCCCCCTTCAGATACTGGAAAGCTGCTCAGGTCTCCACGCAGCCTTCTCTTCTCCAGCCCCAACTTTCTCAGCCTATCTTAATATGGGAGGTGCTCCAGTCCCCTGATCATCCTTGTGGCCCTCCTCTGGACCTGTTCCAACAGTTCCATGTCCTTTTTATGTCGAGGACACCAGAACTGCACACAATACTCCAGGTGAGGTCTCATGAGAGCAGGGTAGAGGGGCAGGATCACCTCCCTGGACCTGCTGGTCACACTCCTTTTGATGCAGCCCAGGATACATTTGGCTTTCTGGGCTGCAAGTGCACACTACTGAGTCATGTTGAGCTTCTCATCGAGCCCCAAGTCCTTCTCCACAGAATCCCTTATGTCCTCCAGGCTACTGCTATCTATATCCTTAGCACTCACATGTATCACTAGAAGTGGGTAACAGTCAGTGGGACTTACTAGAGCAGGCAGCCTCTCTGCAGCATCCCTGATCTGTGCCCCTGGGACACAACACACCTCCCTTGAGACTGGGTCAGGCTGACAGACTACTGCTTCTTTCCCTTTCAGAGTCCCCTACTACTATGACCTGACGCCTCTCCCTGGCAACACCAGTAGAGATCTTCTTTACCAGGGCATCAGCTGTCTGTTTCTGGTGCGAGTGCGTTTTCTCATCAGCCCCCGGCAGGACAGCAAAGCGGTTCTGGGTGAGGACAACAGATTTAGGAGGAAGCCCCTTACTTTTAATTGCCCTCTTCCTCCTTTTTTTGTTGTTTCGTTTTTTTTTGTTGTTGTTGTTCTTTGGGTGGGTTTTTTTTGTTGTTGTTACTATTTCCCAGATTCCTGGGTTAGTGGCCTCCTTTTTTCCGCCATGAGCTACCGTGGACACTTGAGGCCTCTGCACAGTTTGGGCCAGGAGCAAGCATTCCTGCTTCCTCTCAGCTTCCCTGACATCTTGCAGCCTATTAATAGCACCCCGCAGCTCAGCCCCTGCTGCAGGAGGGCCTCCACCAGGGAGCACGGAGCGCAGCCCTGCCCATTGTGCACCCTCCCCTCACCAGACCCGTGCAGGCACTCTCTACACCCCGAGCTCTGCACTGCAGCCTCCCCTCTCATCGGTTCTGTCTGGGTGCCTACGCCGGCCACCGCCGGGGCAGCCAGAGCAGAGCTCCCGGGCCGGGCCCTGGTCACAAGGCGAGCGCTCACCACGCCGCCCGCCCGCCCGCGCAAACTGCGCTGACCCGCCCTGTTTGCCCGCCCTCCTGGTCGCTCGCGCTCCCTGGGGCAGGTTTTAACCGGTCAGGGCTGGTGCCAATCCTCCTGGCTCCGTCCCCTGCGAGTCCCTGCTCGCTCTCGTCAGCTGAGCTGCCGGCTCCCGGGCAGGTCCTGTCGAGGACTTGAGGCTCCCTGGGGGGCTCTCGCTGCTCTGAGTTGAGGCTCCTGGGCGCTGAGCTTCGGCCCGCTCCGGTGTGGAAGGCGTCCTCTCTCGAGCTACTCACCTCAGCAACTGACCCACTGAACCACTGCTGAACTGGTACTGGCAGCAGCGTGAGGGACCACCCCGCATGCAAGACCTGAAGATCTTTTTTTCAAGAGGTTTTGTATG